TTGGGGCTGGGGGTTGCCTGCTGTGTTTCCAATCTCCCACTGTTGCTATTAATGCTTTACAGGCAGAAGCTTTTGCTGTGGTTTGGGACCTTCAAACATATATTAAGATAAAGAAAGAGAATGAGAGATACAAAGAGACATGAACCACTCTTTCTTAGATATAGATGGATGGTCTCTCTCTCTCTTCTGTCGTGCTCATTGCCTCACAATTTTTCCTCCTCCTCTCCCTCTCTCTCTCTCATCGCCCAACCCTCTTCTTTGATAAAAATTGAGACAGGGAAAGCATGAAAGAGAGCGCTAGAGAGAATAGTGAGCGAAAGAGTGAGACTTAGACATAATTGTGAGAGAGAGTGAGATGGAGAGAGAAATGAAGAGAGAGTAAGTGAGAGAGTGAGTGAGAGAGTGAGGAGAGGGAGAGAGGAGAGATAGAGAGAGAAAGAGAAGAATGTGTGAGAGAGAGAGAAGAGAAGTTTATGCTAATGAGATAGTGAAGCAATAGTGATGCAAAGGGGGAGAGAGAGAGGAAGTCAGTGAGATAGGAAGGTTGTAGCGACAGAAAGTGAGGGAGAGATGATTGTTAAGAAAGAGAGTTAGGGGTGGAGAGGGAGAATATGGATCAAGGGAAGATTGAATGAGTGGTATCTCACTCTTCTCTTTGTTTATCTCTTTCTCATCACTAATCTCTCTCCCTCCCTCTCCCTCTCTCTTTCTCCTCTCTTTGTTTCAATATATATATATATAAGAAAGGAGATGTATAAATCTCCCTACATGTTGATTAAAGAGGGTTACAAGAAGGAAAAACAGATGGAGACTTATTGATTCAATACAGGAATCATAAGTCCTCCCCAAAATCAAAACAGTCTATACTAACAACAAAATTTTGCTAAAGAAAAAACATAGACCCCAGCTAGCATGTAATACAGAAAATCTTAAGATAGATTGGGGGAGAGGGAGATCATATCAGGCAATAATCAATCACTTTAGATCTTGGTTAGCAATTCTGAAGTATGGGACCTTTATCCTATCACCCTGCTGTAGAAACTGAAGGGTAGGGGGGCAGCAACAGATAGCTCTTTTAAATTATACCCTTGTCTGGCAAGCCAATTGGCTGGCTGGTTGCCCTCTCTAAAGATAAAAGTGTGAACTTCCATGTATCCAAGCTATATAAACATATAAAGCTATATAAACAACTAATACTATAAACAACTAATACCAAGATGGGAGTTATTATGCAGGCTTGCCAAGGCAAATGCCTTAGCCCAAGGCACCAAGGATGCTGACAATGAGTAGCAAAATATAACTAGTTCTTTATAAGTGCTCGGTTCTGACTCAGGCGAAAGACAGTGGTAAGAAGTGATTGTGCCATCAAGACCAACACCCAAGGTTTATTATTCTTTTGCATTTCATGTAGCCGATCTCATGCATTTCATGTAGCTGATCTTTAGCAGTTCATGTTTTGATAGGTATTCTCAGCTTATAATTATTTAGCAAGACCAACACCCAAGGTTTATAATTCTTTAGCATTTCATGATGACTCATCAAGAACTTCAAGCCTTATGAAAACAATTTTAAAACTACACATATTCATCATCGACAAACATATAATAAACACCCATAAATATTTTCCTCCTCACTCATATTTAATCCAAAATTTATATGTCATCTATAACGTATGTTTAAGATGACGAAAATAATTAAACATAATTGAAAGACATAATATGTAATGCTATCTAAATGCCTTGGCTTATGTCATTTGCTATTTGCAAACCCGCCATCTCTGAAGCGCCTTCACCATCTGCTGTTTGTGACTCTGGTGAATCTATATCAATTTGTGGGATAGAACGTCCAACGTGATATTCGAATGCCTCAAGTGGTATTTCCATTGAATCCTCTTCTATAACGAAAAACACTGCATCTGTCCTGGAATGATGTCGTCTAATGAAGTTGTGTAGTGCCATTGTTGCCACTACAATCTGGACTTGTTTTGTAAATGAATAAGTTGACATATCACATAGAATTACCTATTTCTTCTTCCAAACCCCGAACGATCTCTCGATCACACCACGCAAGGATGAATGTCTTTTATTAAAAATTTCTTTATTTCCTCGTTCAACCCCGCTCGATCTCTCGAAATCAGGTATATGATATTTTGTATCTGGATATGGCTTCAAATAGCCCTTTTGCAAAGGATACCCGGCAACCACTAAGTAGTACTTACCTGAGCAATGTTTTTTTTTTCATTAGGAAATTTTGAAGTAATAAGGATGGACAAAAGCGCAACACGATTGTCATACCTGGTGGTGGATAAGGGAAACCATATTTTTTGTTGCTAGTAGCAAACTTGAAAACGCGACTGTCGTGTGCGCTACCTTCCCATCCAGCCATCACATATGTAAAACACATATTGAAATCACAAACAACCATTATATTTTGTGTTAATGATCCGCATCGTCCAATGTACGCAACTTTCTCTTTGCCAGAAAGACGTGCGTTGACATGTGTTCCGTCAATAGCTCCGATACAATCCTGATATGAGTGAATTAATCAATAATAAAATCATATGTGTGAAATTTTATTAACTAACATTTAAATATGGGAAGCACCTTAAAGAACGACATATAACGAGGGTCTTTCGCAATATGTGTGGGGATGAAGTGGAATGTTGGATCCTCTGGTTTGACTACTTGACGGGCTAGACTCACTAGTGCATTCAACCCAGCTGAGAAATACCTGCTTATGGTTTCAGAGAAATGTTGAAACCGTTCCATCGCTCCTCTAATCGATTCGTTCTGGGCCAAAATGTTGAGTGTTATTGCCAACACCTCTCTAAATGTTGTTCTTGATGATCCTTGAAGTCCGTGGAGGGTTCGAAGTTCATGTAGGAGGTTAACAAAAATGGCTTTTGTCATACGAAACATATTTGTAAAACGTATCGGGTGACAATGTAATTTTATCTGTGATGAAATTTCTCTAATCTTTTTGGTCCAATAGGTAAGGTGCTAGGGTGTGAGTTCCTCTTCCCTCAAAATCTTGATAACAGCGGTAGAATCTACTTCAACCCATAAGTTTTTCCAGCTAGCCATTTTGGCCATTTTCAAAGCCCAATAGACAGCTGCTCCTGCCTTATTAAAGCTGCCATCAGTATTTACCTTTACTGTTTGGTGATTAGGAGGTTTCCAAAAAAACCTATGAACATATTTCTTGTCAGGTTGTCCCAAAGAGTAAGACTTGGAGATGTTGGGAAATCTTCTGTGTTTAATCATCTTATTAAGATATGAAATGCTGTTTCTGACTATCTTCTCAGTTTTTGGTCTACCTTCTTCAAACTTAACCTTGTTTCTTTCCATCCAAGTGAACCATGCAACAATAAGAGGTATTGGAACATAGTTCCATTTGTTCCAAGACTGCCAGCAGGTGGTGATGTTATCCCAAGTAAAGAGGTTTTTGTCAATGTTCAATTGGGCTAGCAGTTGATGCCATACAACCTGTACAAAATTGCATTCGAATAAAAGATGTGGCAATGATTCCTCCTCCTGAATATAGAACTTGCATACAGAAGGTCCTCTCAGCCCCTTTAGTTTAAGGATATCATCAGTAGGGATGAGATTGTTAAAGACCCTCCAACAGAAAAATGACATGGAGGGGGATAGATAATTACTCCAAATGATTTTGCTCCAGGATAGATGTTCCCATTGGAAGATTTTGGAATAGATGGCTTTAGTAAGGCTTTGATTTGAGAAGGACTGCCAGACAATTTTATCTGGTTTACTTCTATTGATGTTGATGCTGGCAATTTTTTCTATAGAGTTCGCATGTAGAATTTCTGACAGTTTAAGTAGTGACCAATCTTCATCCACCCAACAGTCAGCCACCTTGAGATCAGGGTTTGGGTAGTTACTAATAGGGGACAGCCAATCTTTAGGGCACCAGTTATCAAGCCAGAAATTTAACTCTCCTTTCACCAGATCTCAAATGAATAAGTTTTCAGTAGTGTGTCTTATATGAAGCATTTTATTCCAAATTTTAGAATCCCCTATCTTACTTTCAACAAGGGTGGGGTGCTGATTTTTACAGTTCTTTCCCTTCATGAATAGAGCCCACAAAGATGTCTGAGCTCTAAATTTAATCCAAAGCTTACATAGGTTTATTTGGAAGAGCTGATTGATACCCTTGAACCGAATTCCCCCAGCCAGTTGAGGTTTAGCTACTTTTTTTCATGAAACCCAATGCATCTGTTGCCTTTGTCCAGACCATAGGAATCTGTTAAAAGCCCTTTTAATCCGTATTTGAGTACTTTTCTTGATGTTAGTCAGTTGTAGGATATAAGAGGGGAAAGAAGTTAGAATGCTTTTCAGTATAGTGAAGTATAGTGATTCTGTAGTGATTCTGCCCCCATTTGAAAGGAAGGAGTGAGTCCACCCATTGAGGTAGGTAGTGATCTTATTTATGACATCTTCAAATTGAATTTGTCTGGTCCTACCAGTAAGCAGCATGGTTCCAAAATATTTGATAGGAAGCTAAGAGTTAGAGAAGCCAGTCTAGCTAGAAACCCACTGTTTGCAGTTATGCTTAGCATGTTTATTAAAGATCAACAGGCACTTCTCAGAGCTAAAACACATACCAGATCGTGTTTGAAATCTTTAAAGAGTCTGATACACTTTCCTAATAGCATTTATTTGAGCTCTAGAGAAAACCATGATATCATCAGCATAGATCAAGTGAGTGATGACAATGTTGGATCTATGATGATAAATAATATAGTTATGGCTTAGGAGAGAGTCATCAAGCATTCTTCTAGACAAAGAATCCATTGCAATAATGAACACAGTGGGGGATAGGGGGTCCCCTTGCTTCATACCTCTGGATGCAGTAAAAGAACCCCAGCCTTTGCCATTTATGAGAATAGAATTATCATTGTTGTGAAGCCATCTATGTATCAGCTGGCAGAAGTCAGAGTGAAATCCTCTAGCAACAAGAACATCCAAGATGAATCCCCAGCAGATGGTATCATAAGCCTTTTTCAAATCCAATTTGTATATCAGATTGCCACCTCTGCAGGTCTTATTCAGATCATGCAGAAGTTCCTGTGCCAAGAGAGTGTTGACAATAATGGATCTCCCCTTCACAAATGCAGTCTGGTTGGGTTTTATAATATGTTCAAGGTGAGGTTGGAGTCTATTGACAATGATTTTGTTGATCACTTTGTTGAATACAGTGGTTAGACAAATAGGTCTGAAGTGATTCCATGTGGTTTGTATCTCAGATTTGGGGTTCAGCATAAATGTAGAAGCACTGAAATACTTTGGGAGATTATTTCCTTGGAAGAAACTGGCTACAACATCAATCACTTCAGGATTAATAATGTTCCATGATTTCTTGTAAAACTCAGCTGTGAAACCATCAGGACCAGCTACTTTGCTACTATCAATAGAGTTAATAGCCTTCCAAATCTCCCCTTCATCAAGAATACCAGCTAGTTTTAGATTGACAGTGTAATCCTTCTCATCATTGAAAAATTTTGGATCAATGGGGCTTTTGAGATTATTCTCTTGAGTCAACAGATTTTTGAAGTAGTTTACAGCATCATTAGCAATAGCCTCATTTTCATGCAGCCACATCCCCTCTACAGACTCAATAACATGTATGGTATTGCATTTCCTTTTATACTTTATGTAAGCATGGTAGAATTTGGTATTCCTGTCCCCCTCCTTGAAGATGTTCATAGCAGCTTTTTGCTTTAGATATTGATCTTGGTAATCAATAGCAGTAAGAAGCTTATTTTGGGCAGTTAGGAGATCTTTTTCCTCAGCTAATCCCTCCTGTTCAAGTTGCTCTAATCTTTGGAATTCCTTCTCCAATTCCTGCACATTTGTGAGGACATTCCCAAAAGTCCCCCAACTCCAACTCCTCAGAGCTTTTGCAGTTTTGATCTGTAATAGGCTGAGTTTGATAATAGGATTAGTATGTGTAATCCCATTCTAAAGATTGGCAATGAAAGGATTGTAAGTGGGATGAGAAGACCACATATTCAGATATCTAAATGGGGAGGGGGAACATGTAATTTCTGAGGAGGTGATGCTGATAAGGATGGGTCTGTGGTCAGAACCACCAAGGCTTAGATGAGTAACAAAAGTGAGAAGGAAATGATTGTACCATTTATCATTGACCAGACACCTATCAAGTCTTTCCTAGATTTTTCCCCTCTTCCAAGTAAAAACAGGACCTTTGTAGCCCAAATCAAACAATCTAGCCCTGTGGATATTATCAATGAATATGTTCATCTTATTAAGATTAGGGGCTGTACCCCAAATTTTTTCAGCAGTAGAGGCAATGCAGTTAAAATCTCCCCCCACAATCCAGTGGGAATCCATAAGCTGACTGATATCTAACAGGCAACTCCACAGCTCCTTTCTGGCTTCCTTGCTACAACCTGTATAAATGAAGGTAGCAAATCCCACATGGCCACCATAGTTAAGCTTAAAATGTACAAATTGTTGATGATTAACAATGATATTCCATCTGATTTCTTTTCTACAAAGAGTCCAGATTTTATTATTGATATTGGCAAAGTTACGAATCCAGGGAATTTCTTGGTAAATTTTTTATGGTTTTTGTGAACCATAGGCTCAAGGATCACAATGCACCAAGGTTTATATTTATGGGTTACTTGTAAAACTCTTTTTAGGGCGAGGGGATTGGCAATTCCCCTAATGTTCTAATAAAGGATGTTAATCATTTGTTTGGTGGATTGGTGGAGAAGGCTATGATCTTGACCTGGTTCTTCCTCTATGTTGATGGGGAGAACCAATTTTAAGATTGGCTTTACTCTCAACCTGTTTAGATCTTGCCAGCTATAATTTATGAACTTCATTTATTTGTTTTCTTTTTCATCTAGCTGTTTGTACCTGCCAATCATCTTCTATTGCCTGTTGAATATCAGCAATGATCTGATCCTCAGGTGCCTTACCATGAAGTTCTGATTGTTCTCCCTCTAGAGGGGAAGGTGAGGGTGTGACTATAGTGATTTCTTGGAATTCCTTTCTGATAATATTTGTAGGTGCATTCCCATTATTTCTGTTTGTAGGGGAGCCTTCTGCTAGCTCATCTGAAGGTTCCACTGGTGAAGATTTTCCTTTAGTGGTTGAGAGTGTATCTTTATTTCTTTGAGTGTGATCCTTCTTGTTGTTCAGCTGTGTATCTTCAACAGAATTTTTTGTAGCTTGTTGTGCTATATTGCCTATTTCTTTATGGTCTTTGCCAGTATTTCTTTTGATTGGTGGATGTATTCTGTAGCATCTTTCCACTGTATGGCCAAACATTCTACAGTGTTAGCAGTAATAAGGCTTCTGTTCAGGGATAATATTCTGCCAAAAACCATCATTACCTGAGCCAATACAGATTCTTTTCACTTCAGGGAAGGTGATGTCTCTTTCAACTTGTATTCTGGCCAATGCTGGCCTGGCTTTGTTGTATGTGGGTGCATCTACTTTCGAAGGTGTGCCCAGAGCTCTCCCTATGTTAAACAATGCATTCAGCTTGAAGAAAGGAAGTGGAAGCCCAGGGAATTTGTACCAAATAGGAACTACTGGTGGTTCTTTACTTGGATCAAAATCAGGGGTCCATTTTACAATTTTCATGGTAGTTCTAGCAATGATTACAGATTGCTTAGCAAAAAGTCTGGCATAGTCTTCCCCAGTTGTTAATTGGATGAGTAGGTGCCTTCCATCCAACTGCCCTATCTTCCAGTTACCAATAAATTTAAGTGATT